AAAGAACCCAGAACCACCGTCATCCGCCACCGTGCCGCTAGGCACGAAGTGGAATGCCCTCCTCAGGCCCCCTCGATTACTTCGTTTCGAACAGGGCCAACCACCCAGAGTTCTGAGAAAATCTGGGCGCCCGAAGGCGACCTTGAAGCTTGCCGCAATACTGTCTCGACGCCTCGGAAGCGTGGTTCGGAGCCCAAGCTCCGGACATGCCCTCAGACGGCCCCAGGGCGGTGCTGGGGCTCTCTCGGAGCCTCTTGGAACGTCTTGGACACCCTGGGGGCTGGCCCAACGGGCCCAAATCACTGAGCAACACTATTCCCCAATCAGCGCTTGCACTGAAGGGGTCCTAGCGGAGCTTGAAGGAGTTGGCGGAAGTGGGCGGCCGATTTCGGTAAGCCGCCGGGTTCCCGGGGTCCCGGTTGCTGGTTCCAGACCGTTCACGGTGGGCGGCGTGGTTTGCGGGTTCCCGGCTTCCTGGTCGATTTCCTTATCGATCGGTCCCACCTTACACTACCTACCTCTCTATTGATCTCACGATCGCTCTCACAATCGATCTGACTGTCGATCGCACAATCGATTTAACTATAGATCGCACGAGCGATCCCACGATCAATCTCACTCTTGATCTGACTGAATCGCCTTCATTGTCGGTCTTACAATCGGCCTTACTATCGTCCTCACTATCGATCCCACTCTCGACTTCAATATCGATCCTACAATCGACCTCCATGTCCACATCGTCAAGTTTCAAGTCATCCACTGATTCGGGTGTATGGTAGAATGTCCTGTGTGATTTTCATAAGCTCGCATTTTCGACTTTCGCATCGAAGACGGTCCAGGAGACCCACAGAAGGTGATCCTTCCAAGAACGCCCCAAGACGGGGCAGCTGGGCCCCTCCCGAGATGGCCCCCGAGCTCGCCTCTGCGGGGTCCTCCAGGGGGCCTCTGCAGGGCGCCCGGGCGTCTCCCAACAAAGCCTCGACGAGGCCACGAAGAGTCCTCCGAGAGGCCCTGGGTGGTCGGAGAGCGCCCCAGGAGAACGGCGAGAATCCAAGAACTGGTTTTTCAATTCAAGAACAAATCTCCCTGAAATCCTCGACGAGGCCACGAAGAGTCCTCCGAGAGGCCCCGGGACGGTCGGAGAACGCCCCAAGAGAGCCCGGACTAAAATCCCAGGTGGGTCCGAAACGAACTACAAAACACAGCACCAGGAAGACCCCGGATGGCCCCCAGCCCTCCGCAGACACCAGATCCTGATAACTGTTTGGAGTTTCTTTCTCTCGGGGGCGGCCAAGAGGGGGGCGTCCAAGAGGGGGGGCGCAAATCATGGCCGGCTGCATGGGCGCGGCCTACGGGGGGGCCAGGGACGTAATGAAATAAGAAGAGGGAACTATCATGGCCTACGCCATTATATCCACCCCCTATAGTCATCACCCCCCTCTTGGCAGCCCCCGATTCTCGACAGACTGCGTAACGGCCACCGGTGCCGTTCCACGTGGCATGGGCTGGTGCCGCGTGGAGAGGCATCGGTGGCCGCTCCCATGCCATAGGGGACGGTGGGGACTCGCCGTGCGCGCCGTCGACAGGGTAGGAGGAGTCGTCCCGAAGCACCGCGCAGCCCTGGAGATATGGCGAGGCGATAGCTGTCGAGCATGGCTCATCGCTTGCAACTGCAAGCGGTAATGGAATAGCATGGCCAAGCCACGCGTGGTCGGCAGTGCTGGGCTCCAGCGCTGGCAGTGCGAGTCATTAGTGGTTGTTTGTCCAGATTGCCTCTTGAGAACTGCAGCTTACATGGATAGATCTTGCCGTATAATCTCACCAGCTCTCTGGGCGTAGGTGGTTTAGGGCGTTTCCTGACCCACCCCTCCCACTTCCCCTTCGGGGAAGGGTTTACCTCTCCCCATTACCCCCTCTCCTGGACCTGGAGGAGTGCGGTCGCGAGGCGTTGGAGCGTCCAAGATGGCCCAAGATGGCTCCAAGAGGGCCTCAGACAGCCCAAGATGACCTCCAACATTGCCCGAGATATCCCAATATGCGTCAAGATGGCGCCCAAGATGCTCCAAGAGGCCCCAATACCGCTTCAAGACGGCTCCGAGCGGCCACGGAGCTGCCCCAGGAGGCCGCCAAGAAGCCAAAATCTGTCAACCAACTTCGGAAAATCAATGAAGTTTGTCTTCTCGCCGTTTCGCTTCCGATGGCCTCCCGAGGCCTTCAGGCAGCTCCAATAGGGTCCATGAGGGCCCCAAGAGAGATCCCAGAGAGCCCCAAGACGGCCCCTAGGCCTCAAGAGCGCTCCAAGAGGGGCCCAGGTAATTTTAGGGGCTCCCGAGGGGGGATACTAATTGAGGACCCCCCTTCTGTGATCGACCTCCTCCAAGATGGCCCCAAGAACGCCCCTAAAGCTCCCAAGAGCGCCAGACGGCCCCAAGAGGCCTCCAAGAGGCTCCCAAGAGATCCCCAAGTCTCCCCAAAGGCTTCAAGAGGATCCCCGAGGCACACAAGAAGCCCCCCCAGACGCTCCAAGAGGCCTTTCAAACAACTCCCAAGAGGCATCCTAGGAGGCTCTTAAGTCCCACCAGCCCTCTGGGCGTAGGTGGTTTAGGGCGGCTCCTCTTCCACCCCTCCCTCTTCCCCTTTGGGGAGGGGTTTACCCCTCCCTGTTACCCCCTCCCCTGGACCTGGAGGGGTGCGGTCTCGAGGCGTTGGAGCATCCAAGATGGCCCAAGATGGCTCCAAGAGAGCCTCAGACAGCCCAAGATGACCTCCAGCATTGCCCGAGATATCCCAATATGCGTCAAGATGGCGCCCAAGATGCTCCAAGAGGCCCTAATACCGCTTCAAGACGGCTCCGAGCGGCCACGGAGCCTCCCCAGGAGGCCGCCAAGAAGCCAAAATCTGTCAACCACCCTCAGAAAATCGAAGAGGGCCCATGAGGGCCCCAAGAGAAGCCCCAAAGAGGGAAGCGCCCCAAGACGGCCCCAAGAGCGCTCCAAGAGGGGCCCAGGAGGCAATTTTAGGGGGCTCCCGAGGGGGGATGCTAATTGAGGACCCCCCCATTCTTTGATCGATCTCCTCCAAGAGCGCCCCAAAAGGCGCCCAGGAGGCCGCAAGAGGCCCAAGATGGCTCCAAGATGGCCCCAAGAGGCCCCCAGGAGGCCCCCAAGAGGACCCCAAGCGGCCTTAAGAGGCCCCCCCGAGGCACCCAAGACGCCCAAGAGCCCCCCAGGACCGCCGAGAGACTCCCAAGACGTCCCAAGAGGCCTCCAAGAGGCGCCCAAGAGATATCCCACGAGGCTCCGAGAGGCATCCCAAAAGACCTCCAGCCCTTTTGCTTGCCCTCCTCCTCCTCCTGCTCCTCCTTTCTCCTCCCACTCCTTCTCTTCCTCCTCCTCCTCCTCCTCCTCCTCATCATCATCATCATCGTCAGCATCATCATCATCATCCTATTCAGCTTCCTTCTCCCCGCTCCCTCATCGATCCATCCAGCCTCCTCGTTCTCCTCCTGTCTCCTTCGCACGGTTCGGCCGTCCTCCTCTTTGCTCCCGCACTTCCCCGGTCACCTCAACTCGCCTGAACATCGTTTCTGGATGGGCTGGTGGGGATACTTTTCCGTCGCAGCCGCAAGCCAAGAGGCATGCGGCGTCAGAGGTCAACCCGGGCTACGGGCGAAGCCTCATTGCGCTGGTGGGGATACATTTTTTGGTCCGCGGCTCCGAGGCGAGAGACAGGGAGCGAGCACAACGTCCGGGGCGCGGTACGTCATGCTGGTGGGGATACGCGAAGCGTCTAGCATTTGTTCGTCGCCAACGCCCACACGTTAGAAAGATGCCAATGCTGTTCGGAACACAAGCCCCGCCACCCGTTGCAGCTGGCCAAGTGTCGGCTCCCCTTATCCTCGCAGGAATTCAGTCATCGCATCCTGCTACCTTCTTGAACCATATCGCTTGAATAAGTTCGGGTGTGCCACGAACTCTTCGGCGGTCGACGTGAATTGGTCACTGTTCATCACTGTCCCTTCGACCAGATCGCATGTTAGACTCCTCCTGTGTATATGACTCGATAATATGTTCACGTAGTTTAACCAGTGTAACGCTCCGATCGACGAGAACCTGCGCGTTGGAGGCCACAAGCATACAGATATTCCCCAACGCGAGCAGCTGGGGAGAAGGAGCTGAGCGGTGGGCCGAGGGTTGCAAGGGATACGAGAAGGATGCAGGAGGGCGAAGGCTGGGAGGCGAGGGGGCGGGCATGGGAGCGGAGGGGGGGGTGGGCAGGAGCAGGGAGCGGGACTTCGACGGGGGGGTTCTGGGCCGGAGAGGTCGAGGCGAAGAGGAAGGGCTGGGGGACATGGAGGCAAAGGTCACGTGGCAACCCAGGGGAGCCTCCCGTGCCATCCTGTCGGCTCTTTCGAATCGACGCCAATCGACGCCGAATCGACGCCAATCGAAGCTAGATCGACGTCTAGATCGACGTTATTCGACGCTAGCGGAATCTGGATCGGCGCTATCTCATCGACTCCCAGACGCTTATCGACGCTACAGACGGCATTACGAGGGTACACAAGGCTCCCATGATTTGCTACCGAACAAAGGGGACGGCGGCGGCGGATCAGCACATGGTCAGAGCATGAGTTCAGCAAATGCAATGGACCGCTGTGTGCATCGGCTCACCCCGCAACGGGACGGGACAGGGTGAGGTGGGACAGGGGGAAGGGAAAGAGTGGCGGACTTTGTCATAGCTGTCGCACCTCATGCCTGATTCGTCTCCTCATCCTGATTATCGACCTCCTCTCCTCATACCCTGCCTCCCGTTGTCCACCTGGTCCTCCTCCTCCTCCTCCTTCTCCTCCTCCTCCTCAGTTTCACTCGCACCTTCCATGTCATATGCATTTCAATCGCCGTCATCATCTGAATGTGTATCTTTCTCCATCCCCCCCACACACATATTCCACCTACAGAGCGTGAGCCCTGGCTCCGCTGCAACTGGTCGTGGGTCTCTCACCAATTCATCAAGACCTCGCGGGCAGGCAACACGTTTCGGCAAAGCCCCAGACAACATGGCAAGAACATCAACACATCGAACATCCTTGTGGCGCAGCGCAGTCGCACGGAATTCGAGCCCCAAAAACGTAGGAGAAGGACCCTCAAGAAACCAACGGGAGGACAACCGAAGCGAAGCCGATTCGGTCTCAGGACACGCTGGGTAGCAGGACCGGCCGAGGAAAGTGCCACGCCTTCGAGAAACGAGCAACGACATGAACATACACTTTCGGAGCTCCGCGCTGCCTTCTTGGATCGGCGCCGGGGGCGGCGCCGGAGGCGCCGCCAGGGGGCTCCAGCGCCGATCAGAACTGCGTGCGGACCTCCGAACAACCCATGTTTTTGCTACCGCTTGTTCTCCGGGAAGGTCCGCCGCCGTGCCTCCGGGCACGGCGTGGGCGTGTCCTCGGGTCCTCTGCCCAATCCCCTGAGCGTCACAGGCCGGGACCCCAAATTCTGAACTCCTCTTGGGCTTGGCGCGTGCACCCTGGGACTTGCCGCGTCTTCTCGCGTGGCCGCTGCGGGCCCACGAGGGCCCCAAGACGGGCCAAGGGGGCTCCAAGAGGCCCCAAGGACGGACCAAGACGCCGAAGATGGCTCACAGACGGCCGAAGAGGCCATCAAGACTCCCGAAGAGGCCTTCAAGAGCCTCCAAGACGCCCAAGAAAGCCCCCAAGACGGCCCTGGACCACCCCAAGAGGGCCCAAAGTCGGCCCAGAGAGGCCCCTAAGACGTCTTCCGACGGCGTCAGGCGGGCCAGGAGCCCACCAAGACAGCCAAAGAGGCCCCGGAAGGGCCCCAAAGGCCCCTCAGAGACCCGAGGAAGCTCCCAGGAGGGCCCAAGAGTTTCCCTATAGGCTCCCAAGATGTCCCCTCCTCCTCCCTCCTCCTCCTCCTGGTCTTCCCCGCCATCCTCCCCCAAATGTTCCCCGAAGGGTTTCCACAAGGGTTGGGGGAGCAGGTGGTCCGATAGCTTGGCGGAGCTCTTGCCACAACGCTCGGCCACATGGGCGATTCTAGAAGGCAAGGGGCGGCGGTGATTCGCCGTAGGCGTCTTCGACAAAGGCCTCCTAGATGGGGTTGAGTAGGTGGGGTCGGAGGATCGGGCCGAATCGTCCATGCATCGCCGGTGCATCGGCGACGTTGGCGATGCATCCGCGACGTTTGGTGTGAATCCACTCGGGCTGCACGTCGAACCGCATCGCCGATGCGTCGGCGATGCGGCGCGATCCTCCGACCCCACCTACCAGGACCTCACTTGGGAGGCCTAGACCACTTACCCCCTTGACTTTGCAAGTCCCCCCCAGCCCTCGTTTGCCCCCGTAACTCCAGACGGGGTTACGTGCCCCGCTGGTGATGGCGCCGTCCCTGTCCCCGTCGCTGTCGCCGCGGCCTGCTAAAGAGTCACACCAGCGAGACAGGCCCCTGACCGTTTAAAGAACCCACACAAAATGGATGCGCCGAACAACGTACTCGAACACGGCCCCCAAACAATGCCACGAAACCACCCGCGTGATACGACCGTTCGCGCAAAGCGTATACAATTCCCCGTTCGCGCCCAGACTGTGGCAATGTCTCGAGCGAGGCGATCGTTTGACACCTCGAACTCCATTCTTGTCAGTGCTCAATGATCACCGCGATGTAGCAAGCACAGAACTTGAGCAAGCCAAGGTGGTGCCGCCAGGGGGTACGTGAATTCTTTCTCTGTCCGCGCCCAGATTGTGGGGATTTCTCGAGCGAGGCGCTCTTTTTGCACCTCGTATTCCCTCTCCATTCAGAGCCCACTGGTCAGTGCGATGTAGCAAGCATAGACTTGAGCACACCAAGGGGGAGCCGCCAAGGGGAAGCATGCGGCGGCAGAGGGAATGCAACATACGGCGGCAGAGAAGTAAGCAAAGCGAGCGCTCACACTCGGACTTGCATATCTTCAGTCTGACTCGCGCTTAGACTTCACGCTCAGGTGCTCACAGAGGACTGTGCCAGACGATGAACATGCACGTATGCGGACCCCTGCGTAGCGTCATGTTTGGCTCTTCGACGGGCCCCTGTCCCAGCCGCCCAGCTCCCCCTGCCTGCTCCCGACCCCGCCACAGCCTCGCGCCCCCTACATCGCGGTGGCAAGCGCGCGCGGCGGCGCGACGAGACAACTCGGGGACAGCCGCCGACGAGACGCCCGTGTCTCAGGGGCGAGGCTGGGTGTCATCTCCAGGCGCGCCTCACGCTTCAACTTTCGCCGAAAGGGGCTCCGGAGGTGCCCCCCTCGAGCTGGGGAGAGGCCGCCAGGCGTCGCGTCCTCGCACCCCCGCTGTGCACGACCATCTTCGCGCCCTCGCGCTCCCCACGATCAGCGCAGCGGGGCCGCGGCGCGCGACGCGCAGCTGCCTCTGGGCCCTTTGGGGGTGGAACCCGGTGGTTGGAACCCACAGGCAGGGCATGCGCGGTTTCCCCCGGGACCGTAGGCGACCCGAGGTGGAGGAGGAGGAGGAGGAGGAGGAGGAGGAGGAGGAGGAGGAGGAGGAGGAGGAGGAGGAGGAGGAGGAGGAGGAGGAGGAGGAGGGAGGAGGAGGAGGAGGAGGAGGAGGAGGAGGAGGAGGAGGAGGAGGAGGAGGACGGGTCGCCTAAGCCGTTCGGAGAAACCCGCCAGCAGGGCGCAGCTGCTCGGCGATATTGCTGCCTACCTGGGCCAGCTCTGAGACCGCGGGCCCCGACGGCAGGCGGAGCGCCACCTCTCCTGGCCCCGAGGGCTCCACAGATCGCCCCTGGCGGCTGGCCCGCTAGGTCGGGCATGTCCCCCTGCAGGCGGATTTTGGACGAAGAATTGAAAAATATTCCAGACATAGTCAAACTACATCTCAGCATAGTCAAATAATCGTCCCCAGTTTTTTTTTTTTTTTTTTTTTTGCATATGCCTCCTGTGGAGGGGGACACGCCCGACTTAATGCTGGCCGCTCCCCCCCTCCCCTGATGCCTCTGGCAGCCCCTTGAGCGTCTGGAGGACCCCGCTGATCTCCTCGGCGCTGGTCACGCGCTGCGTCACCGACACAGAGGTGAACTTTCCGCCCATGCCTCCGCCGGAGCCGGCAGGGGAGGGCGCACAGGGTGGGAATTGCAACGCAACGAGATGGCAGAAGGGTTCACATGCACGTCGCTCATGACACATGGCGCACCCACGAACTTGACGCCCATCTTTTCGAACCCCCACTTGGATAAGCCGTTCGGAGCAACGGGAATCGGCGCGACCCGCTAGATTCGGGCACATCGCACGTCCCTGAAGGCTATCTTCGGCACGGTGCGCACCCTGTTTTTTATTTGGGAAAGTCTTGAGCCTCAGGCTGCGCCCTGGCCCCCGACAACACTCGGTTTGATACTGTTCGCTGTCATCTGCTCGCGTATCAGGTGACATTTATCTCCCGAACCCTCGATACCCGCCCCCTTCGTCTTTGATCGTGCCCCCTTTGGGGGGGCACATCTTCCTTCCCTGCCACGTATAATTGGCGCAGCCCTGAACATGGGAAGAGCAGCAATACTGGAAAAGGGAAAGGGTGAGAAGGAAGGAAGGGAGTGGAGGAAGGGAGGGAAAAGGGAAGGGGTAAGGGGGCAAGAGGGAGGGAGGGAGTGAGAATGTGGTGGACAAGATGGATTTGCAGAAGGAGATGGCAAGGAGATCTCCGACGAGAGCGTGGTTCCTGCGCACATTCTCAAAAGTCCCGGGCGAGAGCGCGATTCCAGAGCGCCGAAGGAAGGACTCGTCAATCAATCGTGAGGAAGTCTCTGGCGATAACGCGGTTCTGGGATAAATTGCAAAAAACGTCTCTCGCGGAAATCCGTTTTCTAAACGTTGTGAGGAAGAATATGGCGGGAACCGTTGTTGTCGTTGTTGAATTCTCATGCCAAACAAAATAAATATTGTTGATCCCCCCCGTCCGGGGCACGTTGAGTTTATTCGATCAAAGTGCTCCTCCCGGGGCTCGCACCTGGAATTCTACAAAGGGGAAAGTGGGGTGGCACCAAACTGGGCTTCTGGCCCTCGAGTTACAACAACAACGGCTCCTGCCTGATACTTCCTCAACATGTATTCAAAATCGCGCTCTCGCACGAAAATCACTCGCACATTATGTAGAGATCGCGCTCTCGCGTGGGACTTCTTGGTCGTTTATGCAGACGCCGAGCCCTTGACACTCAAGAATCACGTTTTCGCTTTGGCCTTTACGATTCACTTGGGAGTCGCGCTATCGCTTGAGATTTCCTCGCGATTCATGGAGGGCTCACGATTCAGCAACATGCCTTCTCGACCTGGCCGCTTGGACCCGCCTTCCCAACCCGCCCGTTAGGGTCTAACCGGCAAGATGGGCCCGTCTGGTTCTGAAGCGTGTTTTCTGCTCCTAGCCCCCCCTCCTGCTAATGCCGTGGTCCATCCTTCTCCCTCCCTCTTCCATCCGTCCTCTCTTCCCTTGTTTGAGGGGCTGAGCCAATTACATGGGGCAAGTATGGACGATGTATCCTAAGGGGGGTACGACCGAAGAGGAAGAGGGCGGGTATCGAGGGTTTGGGATATACGTGCTGATAGGTATGCGAGCAGGTAAGAACGAACAGTCTTACAATGATTGTTGATGTCGTTGCTGCTGCTGCTGTTGTTGCTGTTGGTGTTGGTGTTGTTGTTTCTGGTGCTGCTGTTGCTGCTGCTGCTGCTGCTGCGCTTGCTTTTGTTGTTGTACTCCTGGGGGGTAGCAACATACAATTTGGCGACCCGAGACTTCCTCTTGGAAAAAACAGGGTGCGAACCCCAGGAGGCAAGGGAAAGTCTAGGGCCTGAGTGTGGGGTTGGCCCCTGGGTTTGCTGCAACATCAACGGCTTCTGCGTGATACTTCCTGACAATTTGTCAAGATCGCGCTCTCGCGCGAACGCCCTTGCAAATTACGCAAGAATCGCTCTCTTGCATGGGACGTCTTTGGAATATATTCAGACGCCGCACCCTCCACCCTCAAGAATCCCTCTCTCGCCCTGTGCTCCCTCACGATCTACTTGGCATTCGTGGTATCGCTTGAGGCTTTCTCGCGATTCATGCAAAACTAACACTTCAACGACCCACCCGCTCAACCCCGCTGTCTACACCCGCCCGCTAACTTCCCTCCCGCTAAACTCTTTCATGCTCCATGCTTCTGCCTCCCCTGTGTCCCCTCCCTCTTCATTTTCATCCCGTGTTTTAGAGGCTGCGTCAACTACACGTGGCCGGTGAAAAGATAGACCCCGAAGGGGTGTATATTCGAAGACGAAGACGGTGGGTATGGAGTTTTTTTGGGGTAGACATGTTGAACGACACGCGAGCAAATTAGAACGAACAAACTTAAAACGGTGGTTGAATTCTCATTCGCGAGAGAAGAATTTATTGTGGACTTAGCAGCGCGCTGTACCATATGTGCTTTTTGTAATTGAAATGCCCCCCTGGGCTCACACTCTGTTCCTTACAAATGGAACTCTTGGGTATCCGACAATGCCCCTGGCCTCCGGCTTAGAACAACAGCAACAGCAACAACCATTTTAAGACTGTTCGCTCTGACCTGCTCGCGTGCCACTCAACACATACATCCCAAGCCCTCGATACCCGGCCTCTCCGTTCTCGGTCGTGCCCCTTCGGGGGTAGATCTTTCTTACCTGTTACATGTATTTCGTGCAGCCCCCAAGGCAACGGAGGAGAGGACAGATGGACGAAAGGGACAAGGGGGAGGGAGGAAGATGAAGCACGAGAGAGAAAAGCAGGACGGGGGCCAGGAGCAGAAAACACGTGGCAGAACCAGACGGGCCCATCGGGCGGGTAGACCCTGACGGGCGGGTTGGGAAGGCGGACCCAGGCGGCCAGGTCGAGCAGGCGGGTTGCTGAAGCATGCGTCTTGCATGGGGCCACGAAGGGCGCGAGCGAGCGGAGGCCACGAGGGGCATATAATGCGGGGCCACGGAAGGCAACGACGGGGGCACTAAGGGATCAACGAAGGGCAGCGATGGGGCCACGAAGGGCGACAGCGGGACCACGACTGGCATGCATAGGGGGCATCGGCGGGCGCGAACGAATGGGGACCACGAAAAGCATATTCCTCTTCCTATATTTTTATAAGCCCGGGCGGGGGGAAAACCGGTCACCCCCCCCCCCAAAAAAAACGGACTCCCGGGATCTGGGGCTTTGGGACCCTTCGGACGGGCCTCGAAGCGGCCCCCAGGGCCTCGCAGGGCGTTTTGCCAAGCCTTCGCAGCACACCTAGGGCGATCAGGGGGGTCGTCGGAGACGTCCCAAAGAACCCCAAGACAGCACAAGAGCGCTCCAGGAAGCCGTCATACCCAGAAAAATCGCTCCAACACGTACCAAGAGGCCTCCAAGAGCACCCCCAAGAAGGCCCCAAGAGGGAACAATCATTTATTTAATGTAGGTTTTTGGTGAATTTTGGGTTCTCCTTCTTTCGGCTTCCCGACGCTCCCAGACAGCGGTCTTCTGGGCGTCCGAAGTCGCCTGGGAGGCTCCAAAATCGCCCCACAACCATCCGAAAGGGTTTCCAGGCAGTCCAAGAGAACCCCAACACGGCTCAACAGGGGTCCAACCTGGCCCTAAGAGAGCCCCATGGCGGCCCAAGATGGCCCCAAGACACCCTCCGAATCATTCCAAATCGTGACCGGGGCGTTCAGGGAGACCGCGGTTAGAGGCAGAGACGCCCAAGGCCGAAAAGCCTGAGACGCCCAGGGAGACCGCTTTCGGCCTCCTGGGCGTGTTCTGGGAGCCCCAGAGGCCCCCAGAACACGCCCAGGAGGCCGAAAGCCTGAGAACTTTAGTGAGGCCCCCAGAGGCTCTCCAAGGAGGAGCCTCCGCAAAAAGAGCTGAGGAGGATGAGGAGAATGCCCAGGGGATGGCGAGAATGAGGAACAGCAAGCATGGAGGAAGGATAACGAACAACATTGTTATAATGGCGATGCCAGAAAAGGCAGCAAGGAATTATCGCTAAATTGTCCGCTTGACCTTCCTGCCATTTCCGCCTGCATACCAATCTTCAAGGATCAAGGTGCATGGCGCGAAGCGCCACTGCAGTCTTGTATGTATGTATGTATGTGTATCTATATATAGATATGTGTGTATCTATATGTATATATATATATATGGGGCCGCAGAAGGCAGAACGGGGCCACTGAGTGCAGCAACGGAACGCGACGGGCAACTTGGGGGCCACGAAGGGCGACAACGGGGCCACGACGGACGTGCATATGGGGCCACGACGGGCGCGAACTTGCGGGAACCACTAAGGCATACATATTTGCGGCCAAAACGGGCGACAGCGGGGCCACGAAGGGCAGCGATGGAGCCACGACGGGCAACTTGGGGGCCACGAAGGGCGACAACGGGGTCACGACGGGCATGCAGATGGGGCCACGACGGGCGCGAACTTGTGGGAACCACACAAGACATACATATACGCGGCCATAACAGGCGACAGTGGAGCCACGAAGGGCAGCGATGAGGCCACGACTGACAATTTGGGGGCCACGAGGGGCGACAGCGGAGCCACGACGGGCATGCCTGTGGGGCCACGACGGGCGTGATCGAGAGGTGGCCACGAAGGGCATACATATATGGGGCCAGAACGGGCGATGGGGCAACGAACGGCTGCGAGGGGGCCACGAAGGGCGACAGCGGGGCCACGAAGAGCATGCCTACGGGGACCACGAGGGGCATACGTTTATGGGGCCACAAAAAGCAACGACGGGGCCACTGAGGGTAGCAACGGGGCCACGAAGGGCATGCATATCGGACCACGAAGGCGCGAACGAGCGGGGGCCACGCAGGGCATACGTAGATGGGGCCACGGCGGACGACAACGGGGCCACTGAGGGTAGCAACGGGGCCACGAAGGGCAGCGGGGGGGACACGAAGGGCGACAGCGGAAACACGAAAGACGTGAAGTTTGCCCCACGAAAGGGCGCGAGCGAGCGGGGGCCACGAATAGCATGTAATGCGGGACCACAACAAGGGGCACCGACGTGGCCACTGAGGGCAACAACGGGGCCACGACGGGCGCGATCGAAAGCG